TTTATTTTTCAGACATGCTCAGAGGAGGACTTCATCTCAGGAAAACACTGTTACAACAGGGGCCAGGCTACCAAGAACGCAGTTAGTAAACGTACAAACATCCAGACATCTTACCAATTACAAAGATTATAACTGACCTTGTGAAGCTGTGTGGTGACATGTGTTTCCCACAGTACCTGTTTGCAGGGGAACATCTGGACCTGACAGCCATGATGAACACTTGGACTCTGCAGAAAGGTATTCCTCTGGTAACTGTGACAAGAAAAGGTCCTCGTCTGCTGCTTAGACAGGACAGGTTCTTGAGAACAGTCCTGCCTTCTGATCCTCTCTGGCCCACACTGCAAAAGGGGTGAGCACACATGCACTCCCAGCTTCATAATCAATTGTAGGCTGCATGTTTTTGAAATACCCTCTCCTCTTATATAGTTTCCTTTGGCATATCCCCCTGACATACAAGACAGATGCTTCCAGCACCATCCACAGACACCTGATGACCACACAGACAGGTAAGAAAGCATATACTAAATATAATTCATATCTTAATCTTTCTTTCTTTTCTAATTATGCTGTTTTCGGCTTCATCTTTTAGACAGTATACACATAGGAGAGGAAGTCAGCTGGGTAAAGGTAAACACTGACATGACAGGCTATTATGTGGTTCATTACGAGGATGGTGGCTGGGATGAGATGGCCAAAGTGCTGAGGGAAAACCACACTGCTTTGAGCTACAAAGACAGGACACACTTGATACACAACGCCTTTCAATTGGTCACGTAAGCATAGATGTGTGTTTGTGGGTGTGTGTGAAAGAATGAGTTATAAAGTTTTATTTCTTTATGTCTCTAGTTATACATAAATAAAACATCATTCATTATCTCACCTGAAACAGCACCCAACCTTTCAAATATTCCTGTCTTTCTTTCTAAAGGGCAGGTCATCTGCCGATCAATAAAGCCTTAGACCTGATTGGTTATCTGCGATTGGAGACACACACGGTGCCTCTCCTCGAAGGACTGGGCTATCTGGAGACATTTTACCATATGGTTGAGAAAAGGAATGAGCTTGACGTAACCCACAGTCTGGGAGTAAGAAGTCAGGACTGCACAGTTTGCATGATGTTCAGCATCACCATGAAACTAAATTAATGTGAGATGATGTTTCTCTGTGTGTTTTTGTACAGATGTACATCCTGCGATTTTTCCGTGCTGTCATTGACCAGCAGACATGGAGCGACAGCGGCTCCATGTCAGAGCGACGGCTGAGGTCAAAGGTCCTGTCATTGGCTTGTCAGCTGGATGACCCTCCCTGTATAGAGCGTGCACGTCAGAGCTTCAAAGACTGGTTTCAGTCCAACGGAACACTAAAGTCTGTCTAAATCAACACACACTGTTAGCGCTCAACAACTGCTGATATAATTCACATAACCAACAGCATTTCCTAGTGATACTCTGGTATTTCACTGTGTTCGTCATATGCATATCTCTGCCTGTGTTGTCTAGCTTACCCACTGATGTGGCAGAGACGGTGTATTCAGTTGGAGCTCAGGATGACCACGGCTGGGCATCACTCTTGCACACATACAACATCTCCCTCTCTGAAGCACAAAAAAAGAAAATCCTGTTTGCCTTGACTTGCAGCAGAGACACCAACAAACTGCAAAGGTTCATCTTCTCCCTGCAACTTTTTTTCTACACAGTTAATGCTGCCATCATGTGGCAAACACAGAGTATTGTATCACACTGCTGCAGCCAACACATACTGTTATTTTCATT